CCCCCACAAAAAAAAATATATATCTTTGGTCATTTTGGGTTTTTCACTAGCTGAAAATTTTGACGACATAGCGATTTTGCTGCAGTATTTTCGTAATTCATGTAAATTTGATAGCTTTCTTTTAGGATATCACCTCAAGTTTCCTTTTGATTTCAGGACAAACATTTCTGTTTATGTAGGTGGCAACCATATACCCTGTTTTCATCTTAATCTTTCTATTTGTTGATTGTGTTTTGATTGCATCAGTGTTGACTAGTTCATATCTTTACATGAAAAAGATAAAGACTTTTGAGTAATAAATCTTCATAGTAAATTCAAAACAAATTCGGGCTTAATGAACCTCATGATATATATTATATATATTTAAAATATTTGGACCAATTGGGTGTTAAAATATTCTCATTGCCTGTTACTACTTTTTCTCTCTCCTATTCATGGCTTATGTATGCTGATTTTATCTTCTGAGATAAATATACTATTCTTATCTTGTAATGTTAATATTGTTTTATTTCTGGGCAGAAACTGAAGACTCGAGTGGTGAAGAAGAATGTCAATCCTGAATGGAATGAAGACTTAACATTATCCATCACTGAACCAATTCAACCAATCAAACTGGTAATTCACTTCGTTCTGTATTTTTGTTTAATAAAGGAATAAAACAACATATTAACATGTAGTCTCTGCAAAAATAAAAAAATAAATGGTGTAGTTATAGACTTGTAGTCTAGTTTGCTTTCAACTTTTTCAAAGGAATTTAAGAAATAAGTCATGCCAACAAAGCAGTGGCGGAGCTATGTATGGTGAATTGGTTTATCAGAAAATTGTATTGTGCATGTAGACAAATCTTTTAAATGTATATATAAAACTCGTCAAATCTCCTTTATATAAGAAAACTTTTAGCGTAGTATTTTTTGAATCCCCTTATTAGTATAATTCCTGGCTCCACCACTAACAAAGGGATTTATTTAGCTGAAAATGTAATTTCTTCTGTATCAATTTAGAACTTGAATGTAATGAAAACCTCCTAAGTCCTAATCATCATATGGATTGTAATTTATGTAATCCTAAGTGTGATCCTGATTATTGAATATGAAATGCTAGGGGCAGCGACGTCTTAGTTTGTCTGGTTGGATGCATAGAATGTATGGTGCTAGTAGCATGTAGAAAAATCTACTGCAAATGAATTTAACTTGTATACACTGATTGTGTGCAAAAGAGTTTTCGCACTATCAAGTCACCTAAAAAATAACTATAAGTAACTAACCATAATAAGTTGAAGTTAGTTACGTGAATAATAAGGTGGGTAAACATGCAATAACATATTGAATTACAATGATTGTATAAATACTTTATGCTATTAGTGTGTGTATTAGGACAAATAATAGCAGTTTACTGCACCCTTGCTTGAGTTATAATAACTAATGAAGATTGTTCAAAGTGCTAGTAACTTCCATCTAATTATCATATTTGGTATATGTAATTCCTGGTTGTTGTTCTGTTCTTGCAATTGCAGCAAGTTTATGACAAGGATATATTTTCCCTAGACGATAAAATGGGAGATGCAGAACTTGACATATTTCCATTTATAGATGCTGTAAGAAAGCGCTTCGAGAACATTCCGAATGGAACCATAATCACCAAAATAAAGCCAAGCAGGGAAAATTGCTTCTCTGAAGAAAGCTGTATTGTCTGGGAAAATGGTCAAGTTGTTCAAAATGTGTTTATTAGATTGCGAAATGTTGAGCGTGGTGAAATAGAGCTACAATTGCGGTGGATTGATATTCCTAATTCCAAGGGTCTGTAGTTACTTGTGACACCCTTTATTCTATCCAACATGTATAGTAAGTAGTATATGCTTTCTTGATATCTGGTTAGCTCCATCTTGTATTAGTCTCCCTTCTTTAATCTGTATTCTGTAAAGTTACAGTGAGATGTTTGTGGTATTTTTTGTTAAGTTTCTCTTTTATTGAATATTAAAGTTACCTAATTAATGAATTATTGATCTTCATATTCTGATACTATTATGTCTAAGATAGCTTCTTTTGACTTAAATATTGGTTTTAAACTTTAACAGCATATCCAATTATGTCCACCAAAACGAATTATTATTACTTGATTAAGTTGCATCATACTTGCTTTCTAATACATTGTTCGGGTGATGCAAATATGACCAATCTGCTTCGGTCATATTAGTGGTAGTAAAAAGAATAAAAAATAATTATTATTCATCCATATTATCTACTAAAAATGGATAGGATAATGAGTTTTTTTAAAATAGATCAAATATGGATAAGATCCATATTATGCACTTAAAAAATAAATACTTAACGGATAACCAACGAGTCTTACTTTTATATTTGCAAAATTGAGAGTTCCTCAAACTTGAAAAACTAAAAATTCTTCCAAAAGTGATTACATTTAAGAACCTATGGATAATATGAGTATCTATATTATCCACCGGTTAACTTATTTTTTATGCATATTAAATATGGACGGGACGAATATTTTATTAGTTTTTACATTACCCATTTTGAACTGCCTATATTCAACTCGACCAAGTCTGTTTGCCACCCGTAGATCATGTAAAGGACAATCTATTCAAACTTGAAATCAACGTGTAAACTTAATGGTGAATCTATGTAATAACAAGGACATATCTCAACGAGAACTGCCCCATGTATCAGAAGTTCATGAATCATGACCTAAGGAATATAAAAGAGAAAGGAAAAATGTATTACATGGTGGACGTGAAGTGGGAGAGAAAAGGTATCAGTGTCACAATTGGAGTTTTGAATAGTATAGTGATTTTATCCCTCTACATTTTCTGGGACGGAGATAGAAGCTCAATTACGATTTCGGTCGAATTCATTAGTTTCTGCTCAAATGGTATACTTGTATTACAAATTTTATTAAATATATACAAATATTTAATTTAGAATCCAGTTATTAGCACTTGAAGTCATAGTTTTAAAAATCAGAACTCATAAAGTTAAAATTCTGACTCGATCTCAATTCACCTTCCATCCAAAAAAAAGCAAAAAACGGGGATTAGTTACTAGTTAACAGAGTTAATCTGCACTTTAGCTTGTAAAATATCCACAAAATGGAGTCTAACAGAGTGAAAATTGGACGCATTGCAGTGTCAAAAAATTGGCTTCACTCAATTTCTTGAGAAGCTTTAGTCTTTCAGCATTGGCAAGTAGCAGAGAATCAGCATACCAAAAGGTCTTTTTTTACTAAAAGGTCTGTAACAGGGCATTGCTAAGCTTACCTCATCGCTACTCGAAGGTTTTGCAGGAATATTTTCAGGTGAAGCTTCAGGAACAGACTCACCAACCTCTGTTATTTTCTTTCATCCTACTACTGAAAATTGCCCCTCCAAATTTTCAGAGGCAGAAGATGATTCCCAAGAGGTATATGGAATACTGTATTTCCAAGTAGGGACCAAAAATGGTTTACGCATCATATGAAACCTATTCTTGAATTGTTTGAAGCCATATTTCCTTCAACTCCGTTGATATTTTCCGCCTTCAAAGGCTGGTCTAGAATTTCTTGAATATGAGCGCACCATTAAAAAAAATGGAAAAAAAAGTATTATGTGGGAATCAATCCCTATACCTCGGATAAATAACTCAATATTCAACCAAGTGCACCATTCAATCTTTTTGGAGTATGAGTGTCAATAGATAATATTAGACTAATTCTAGAAAATACGTACATAAAATACCTAATTTGACGGTGAGACCACAGGTTCACGTGCCCCATGATTGGGACTGCAAATCCGCCCATGTCCGCCTTGAACCTTATAATTTCCAATAAAATTCAAATTCCACATAATGAAGCAGAATGAGGTTAAGGAATAAAGGAAACACAAAATAAAACAACATAAGCATAAAAAGAATGACAGAGAAGACATAGCAAGATCTCACATTGCATCAAATAGCAGTACTGATAGGTTATATATACCTTGTAATGTTTTGATAATCTAACAAACTTAATAACAAGAACCAGATAAGGAACCTGTTACATATTCTCAAGTACTTAAAGAATAATAAAGTCTCAGCTCGGGGACGTGGTTCAACTCTTCAGAGTCAAAGGAACAACAGAAGGAACATATGGCCACCAGTTCCCGTGGTGACTGTACAAGTCAACTCCTCACAGCTGTAAAGTTGTTGCCTGCACACGCAACAGTGCAAAAATAGTGCAACAGTCAACTTTATCGGGAATGCCCTTTACCTAACTTGCTTGCATCATTCAAGTGATGTCACAAATGAGTTATTAACA